TGCAAAGTGTTAACGTTTGGATAGAAATGGCTTGAGTTGGAAGGACGTTCCATGTTCTGGAAACCAGAGGGGAAAATCATTTTGTCCACAATCAAGTCGACCGAAGTGCGCAGCCAGTTTGAGCTGGTGGCCTCTCGGATTGGTATTGTGGCTGAGCTGAAACAGAGAGCGACAGGTGTGAGTTGGGTTTTTCAGTGCTTGGCGAACCATGATGTTGTCTCCTCATCGACGTCGATATTCACCGCCGTACAATCCCAAGGCTTGCAATATGTGTTGATAGGGGATATGTAACAAACCCCTAACGAATTTCCTCGCTCGACTTCGTGGAGCTGCAAGCATAGCAATATTGTGCGTGCATCAGGAACGCCACGCTTAGTTCGTGTACTCTATGTGGGGTTTGGTGCAGGTGTACAGCATATGAGGAATGATGGATGGCTCGATCATTGCGGAAGCTCTCCATAAGAGTCCAAGGTGCTGCTTGGCCCTTTTCGATGCTTTTTCAGCCTGTTCCGAGCAGCCAAGGTTGTCCTACACGATTACGGCAAGATAATTTCCTCAAGAAGAACGTTGCAACTGTTGGCTCCCAAGTCGATATTAGTAGGTAAGGTGATGGCCGAGGCTGACAAATTTGCATTTCGCCACGCTGTACTGGAGCTGGTTTCGGATAACCACGTGTAGGCCCTGTCGAGATCTCTCCACAGTGCAGTGTCTTGATGTCATGCTAGATCTTGAAATAGCGTGCAAATAGTAAGAATTGAGATCGGAGCATATTGGCTAGCTCACTAGTTGGATGGAATACCAGAGTATGCGTAGGACCACTAGTATAGGTATAGCGAGATCATAATTTGTCATATTTATGAACCTGTTTAGGCTATGTGGTACAGAGCGCATTATTCACCAAAGGTCATTCCTTGGTTTCAAAGCGGCTGTAGTCAACAAACACCTCATTGTTGATATACCTATTCTGTAGTGTTTTGTTATTTAAGACACAAAATCTTTACCGTTTCACTGTACTCTAATACGTACAAGCAGGTCAGTGTCTAACACGATTGGGGTTTTGGTAGCAGTTGACTTTTAAGGGAAATTAAAATAACTTGTATACGCCGAGCAAGGTTGAATATGTTACCATAAACGAAAAACATTTGGAATACAGTTTGCATTATTCGACTGATACTGAGAATAATTTCGTCAAAGTGTCAGTTTGCCAGCTAGGCTCTGAGTGAGATAGTTCGATGTGTCATGATCCAACAGAATTTATAAAGTTTAAGCATGTTTGTATTGATAATTCTGTCTGGCTGTTAAATCCGAATCACCTTCCGACAACACATCACGAAGACGGCAAATGGTAAATGTGAAACTTTCAGTTTGTAAGAACTAACAAGAGAATTGACTATAGGACCCGGAAAAGACATGAAGTAGCAATATGTCCATCAAAGTGACACACAGACGTTGATAACTCAAGATAATAAACAGCAAGTTCGGGTGAAACGTTTAGACGAAGAACATACAACGAGATATTTTAATTTATGAATGCTTGGTTCCACAGATTGGTGATAAATTGTCATTACTCGCTGTATCATCTTGCTACTTCACCGAAAAGAAGAAATACCACCCCTTATTATTGACGAGGACTGCAGGATACGCTGTGAGTAGTTTCCGAGAAAGAACTGCATCGTGTGCAGAGAACAGCACTGTATTGCACTTTAATGCATTACAAGACAGACCACAAGTTTCGGCCCACAACAAGAGTATACAGAAAGATTGCACCTTGGCAGCTGTGGCAGTATCCGGATGTTCGAATCCCACGGCCGCGGCAACTGCATAAATTCGTAAAATGGAATCTCCAAGAGCTTTTGTGAAAGAAGACTTTTGTCACGAATTTGAGCTACCCGTAGAACGTTTAGGTCAGCCTGGAAGTTAAAACTAAAGGTGAACTACTATCATAACTAAATCAAATATGTTTTTTCACGAAGAGCTGTGTTAGAGTATGGATCCAGATAAAGTTTGGTTGTGTTTTTGATTTCTGTGCCGCAGTGTATTGAGAAAATGAGTATATTTCAGTTTGTCTTCAAAAGCTGTCGACGTCGTGTGATATATCACCCGTCTTATGTCCTTTGTGATCTGGGCAGCCAAAGAACCAACGAAGAAGGAAAGTTGGGAATACCGATACTTTGTTGTATAGGAAGTTGAACCATTTTCTAATCCATCACAGTGTCCTACACGCTGGAAGCCATTTCGTCCACTTCTATTTCTGCTGCGCCAACTTCACACTTGCCCGATTTGGATAAGGGACCAATTGCAGCACTGATCATGCAATGCGTGGTTTCGATCCGGAGGCAGCGACGAAACAAACGAAGTAGAACTGTGAGCCGAAACTGTTAGTACCCATTACAAAGGGTCCGTGTTTGATAAATTTCACCCCCCCCGCGTTTTGGGGGCTTGAATACTGAACCTTCCTCACAACACTAAAAGGAGCACTACGCTCTGTGTCCCTTCCTCATCCTTAGTTGATCAGTTTGTTTGTTTCGCATCAAAAGCAAATTTTATTACGCCATTTAAATGCATACACATCCTTTCCCAATTAAAGTGAACAAAGAAGAGAAGTATACGTACTTGAGTATTGTTCTGTGAGTACTACGCGGTAACTCGATTTTTTGGCGTGCCATACTGATCGAGCTTTACAGCTGAAATAACGTGGAAAACAGTGTTTGAATAAACACTTGAAACGAAATTTGACTATTGTCATGTTTTCTCTGATCCAAGATATCTTGGATCGATTAAAGTGGTACTGGCCAAAGCGTCTTTGGCACTTACTAGTAATTTTCCGGTTGTTCTCAGTTTTAATCCCGTCTTGCACCCTGTTTTTGCCTTTTTATTGCGGTCGTTTTTCTATTGTGTACGTGTTGTAATTCTACTCTGTTTTCCACATGAACATGTCTGTCTCGCTAAACGCCGAGACGGATGGACCTATGGGGTCCTCGTTTGATGAGTCTACTGCAGCTTGCGGACAGGTTAACTGTTCAGAGCCAGTAACAGATTTATCTGGTGATATGCAGTGTGACGTCTGCTGCCGCTGGTATCACGAAACCTGTACCGGCCTACAAGCTGACCAATACAAAATGCTAT